GAGCTTATTGTCTGCATATCCTTGCTTGACCAGCAAACTGGCCGGCAAGGGAGGTGGAACGCCACCAAGAGACAATGAGTGTTATCGATGTATAGTACTTCCTTGAGGGTTCTTAAGAACTGGCTTTAGTAACTAGATTAATGTAATAAATGTTTGTCACTGCAGTATTGATAAATATCAGGTCAGGTGGTTCTCAAATCAGCTTGCATTCTTTGTATTGTTTAAGCCTGCTAATAAATAAGATGCTTTCCCTAGGTTTGGGGCTTAGTCAGTCACATCTGCTAAGTCCCCTACTGCTATCGCATTCAGTCTCCTGCCTCTTCAATTTGTTGCGGCACCGGTAACGCGACAGAGGAAGCCAAGGCTAGAGGTTTACGGCTTGCTCAGGTCAACACATTTCTTCAACCATTTGACTTGTTTCTCCTTCTCTATTGATTGTAAGGCACAGTTGGCCCCTGGAAGACTTTCCGGACAGGATTGTGTGATAATTTCCCTACATCCCTGCAGCCTTATTTGCTGCCTAATTCTGGCCCTGGGGAGTAGCACATTAGGAACTGACCTAAGAATGAGCCATGAGCTAGGTGATATGTGATAGGCATTGCTGGAGTCCCAATGATGGTCATTGGTACCATCCTCTCCTGTTCATAACAACAAGCACGGAAGCTCTGTCCAAACCAGGGTAGCACTCCTGACCTGCTGGGCTGTCCTGGAGTCTGCCTAGAACTCAGCTAATTCATTTTCCAATCCCTGGGTCAAATGTGCCCAGCAAAGGAGGGGGCTGTGTCTTCAGGATCTGTGGCCCATGTCTGCTCTCTTTTCTGGTTACACTGCCCCTCTGAGCGGCCATATAGTGAAGACTCTTGTTCACCTGTCTCTTGAGGAATGATGACTGATCAGAATGCAGACATTTATTGTTTCTAAGGGGGATTCTGAAAATTTGTGGAGAAAATAAACTCCATATGTTCTTTTGCTACTTAATTCCCTGAGGATATTTCTGAGAGCTTTTTTTCCTTTGTCAAAGTCATCAGAAACTTGACTGCTGAATTTTCATTGACCTGTGAAAACGATTACCTTGGGAGCAGCTTGCTGCCTTCAGAGTGTTCTTCTGAGGCATGTAGGGAGGAGCCCTATGGATCATGTGCTTAGCCTAACTCATCATGACTGAGCAGAAATGCAGGGCTGTGTGGGAAACCCTAGTCACAGCTAACATTTTGAGCTGAGATACAAAACAAAGACTACCTGGTGAAATGTATAAACTCAGATGGCAGTCTGGGAACCCATTCTCCTGAACCTTGTTTCTACCTTAGAGTCACTTTCCTATGCTTTCTCGGAGGCTTTCCTAACACCAGGTTTTACTAGGGGAACTCTTCTCATGAGATGAGGTCCTAGAAAAGTTATAAAGTGCCTGAGTTTTGAGTTGGAGTGGCCCAGAATAATCAATCTCCATTTTTTTAATGTTATTCTTTACAAGCAACTGGTGGATAATTGAGTAAGTTCCCTTTTGGTTAAAACAAGGAGGGGACCCTCAATTCTGGGGGAAGTTAAAGAGAAGAAAGGGAAGGAGTAACCACCTAACCCTGCAGGGAGGCAGAGCCCGAGAAGTGGCCAGTTGTCTGTGAAGGGTCATTTCAGTGCCAGGTGTAGTGAGTGTCCCCACAGTGTTCATCCTGCAGCAGTTTATGTGACCTCACCCAACTCCCATCATAAACAGGTGGTGTCACCCCCTGTGACCCAAGGGCAGCCACCTTAGAATTCTGGAGCAGCAGTGAGGAACCCAGTTGGTGGTCTTGGCTGGACAAGTCAGTTGCCTTGACACTGACTGTAACCCCTCATAGCCCACGTCCAAGGCATGATCTGGAACTATAGGACTTGCTTCTCACTTTTGTTAGGCCAACTGCTAAGCATGCCAGCTCAGAAAACGCAGTCAGTCTCATGCATCAGGAACTCTGCTACTTCCATTCACTCCCCCTGAACAAATGGTGGGGATTGCACATGTGGAACAGTCGCAGGAAACCCAGTCTGCCCTTGAACGAGGTGGGAGGGGTGTGGGGAGAGGTGCTGCCCTGGGAGCCCCGCAAACCAGAGCTGTCCAGGCAGGGCCCTCCCCTCTTGGTCTCCTCTTCCCTCATTTCAGAGCTCCCTGAATCCACAGGGGAAAGATCCTGAGGTTTAAAAAGTTATGTAAATGTGCACAGAGTACCCCCTCCCATTTGGACATCTGTGGAAAACAAACTCCTGTTTTCTATGGATACATTTCTGACATGGAGCTGTTCTGTGGAGTTATTGTCAGTGGACCTATTTGGGTTCCTTTTGGGTGTTTTTATATCTTCTTTTTAATAAAAAACATTCAAGGCGTCATTCAGCTTGAATGGCCCCTTTGCAGTGAGACATTCCTTGACTATCTAATTCCCTCCCCTGCCATCCCCAGGCATCTTGTTTCATTTTATCCGAGCATTGGTCACCATCCAACATTATCTCATTCATTCAAAAGCACTTGTTTCTTGTTTGTTTCACTCAGTAGGATAAAAGCTCCGTGAGGCCAGTGGTATCATCAGTCTTGTTCTGCACTGTAATCCAAGCAGTCAGGGCAGTTTTGAGGGTCATACTGGGTACCCAATAAACACTTGCAGAATGAATGAATTCTCACACAACTCCTTGAGGAGCTGACTGGCCTTCTCCCATCCTGCTGAGTGAAATATGTGAGCCAGTAGTATGGGCATCAAAGTGTGAAACAGTCCTTTCCCATGCCTGCTTTTTCCCTCTTCCCCAGCCTCCAGGCCTCCCTGGAACTGTCCCAATAGGCCTGACCCTCTGGGGACCATGCCAGTGGCCTCCCCTGACACTTCAAGTTGTGTAACGACCTGAGAAGTTGATTGCTCCTGTACTCATTCCTTCAGGCACAGCCTCTCCTCTCCTCAGTGAATGCCATTCATTTGGTCAGAAAATATTTACTGAGGACCTACTATGTTCTGGAAGCTGGGACATTAGGAAAACACATGCTCTCTGTCCTCATCCTCCTGGAAGGAAAGGGTAAACTATCATGCCAGCATGTGGTGAATGAAACCTGGGGGGATCCCTGAGACCTGCACCCCACCCCGCGCCCCCCCCGCGCCCCCCGCCCCCCACCTTCCTCTTTGTGCAGATCTGAAATGAGCTTCCTCTAGAAATCAAAGAGGGAACTAACATTAGGGGCCCAGGGCTGTGCGAGCCCTTGTGTATTTATATCTATCACCAGTAGTCCTCTCTCAGCTTCGTGAGGAACTTACTGCTTCCATGGGCAAAGGCAAAAAGGGAGACTCCATGAGGACAAGAGGCTTGCAGAGCTGAGGTCCAAGCCAGGTCACTGCCGTCATGTCCTTGTTCTCTCTGAGCATTACTCATCCTCCTGGATTAGCAGTGACTTTGATCCTGGAAACCCCTAGCTAAGAAGGGGAGGTAATAGGTGCCAATAGGGCCAGTCAGGGACATATATTTCAGTTGGTGGGCTCTGCCAAGCCCCTCCAGCTCCAGTCAGAATTTGGCTATCTCCTTTCTCCACAAGTGCTGGCCTTACAGTTAAAATGAGGAAGAGATTATGTAGAATGAGGACAAAAAGTTTAGAGACACAGTATCATCCCCTTGCCCATCTGGAGAAACAGCATTTCATCCCTATAGGCTTCCTCCCGCTTCTTCTCCTTTCACCATCTTATTTCATGAATAAAAGATGAAGGAATCAATCAGACTTTCAGCCATAGCCTGTGTCTCTGGGAAATAATGGACCATAGGGTGATGAGATCACTGAGTTACCTCCCTGAGTCAAGTCAGACAAAACACTTGGACTTGGACGATTTCTGGTGTTGGTTAAGGTTTGTCCAACCAGAGGCATGCAAGTTATGTTTGGAGAAAGTGCATTTTTGGAGCTGAAGCTGTGCATGCCATGACAATCAGTCCCCAGGTATGTGCTCCCAGAAATCTGACCACAGGCACAGGTTGTGCCCTCCTCACCTACTCCCAGCCCAGCCTTCTCATGGTATCTTCCACGCTCCTACTCTTTCCATCTCATATCCAGTCTCTTAGCTTGTTCTGTGCACCCTTCCTTTAAAACCTTTCCCCTCCTTCCAGTGGTCCTATTCAACCCCAGGCTATGACAACCCTCCTCTTCCCTCATTCTAACAAACTAAGCTGCATTTTGGACAAGCCATTCAGATTCTGGGAATTCCACAATTATTGACTTGCAGATACCTTGAAAATAGCAAAGAAACTCCAGACTTGCCAGTCCCTCCAGCTATTAGGACCCTTGCCAGTGGCAGTGGGGTGCCACTAAGAGAGCCCTGGCTTGGGAGTCCCAGTGAGCTTTGCACCTGTGCTCTGCTGCTCTGGTTTGGACAAGTCCATTGCTGCCTAGGAGTGAGCTTCCTCCTGCCTCTGTGAAATAAGGTGGGGTGACCAGTCAGTATCTTTTCTTTTAGGATGTTTTCAGCTGCAAAACCATAGACTCCCTTGGCTTTACTCACATTTCAGGATCCCTCCTACCCAGAAGGTTTCCTGGCTTGCTTTGCCTCTCAACAAATTCATTAAGCAATTAATGCTGAATTCGGGGGTAAAACTGGTTCTGGGAGGTGAGGTGAAAAAAAATCAATGTTTTTGTGTATAAAACACAGATATGTATACATACAGCATGTAAACAGATATACATCCTATCTTTAGTATTAAAATTGAAATCTCATGGGGGAGTGTGATTAGGAAAAAATACCTAAAAAGCTTCCTTAGAGGCCATAAGGGTCGGGGGGAAGGTTGAGAAACACAGATTCAACCATGAAGGTGTGTGTGCTGGGTACCATGACAAGTGCAGGACAGGTGAATGACAATATTTCCTTCCCTCCAGGAGCCCATCTTCCAAACCATGCATCTTCTTTTCTTTCTTCTAAACCCTACTCCATGCCACTTTCAGTGGGTTTATAGGTGCATTTACATATTCTGATGGTCACAGCTTATATTTTTCTGACTTTTCTTCCCTCTAGCTATGGAATTGCTGGCTCTACCAACGTGACGGGTGATCAAGTGAAGAAGCTGGATGTCCTTTCCAATGACCTGGTCATTAACGTGTTACAGTCATCGTTTGCAACCTGTGTTCTTGTGTCAGAAGAAAATAAACAAGCCATAATTGTAGAACCTGAGAAAAGGGTAGGTCTGAACGTCCACCATGCAGGGTTTTAATGTAACCATTTTCCTTCCTAGTTTCATAAATGACTCTAATTGTTCAACCAAGCTGCATTCCTAGGAATCACCCTAGATTCCTTCTGAACCATGAGTCATCATTTCACAGATTTGTCCTCACTCTCATATCTCAAACTGTACACCCCTCTTTACTCTATCACCACAGTTCATGTCACTATCACCCCCCTGGCAGACTCATACATGGGAGTCTTGTATACTCATGCTCATCCCTATTCCTAACTTCTCTGTGTCATGTTCAAGGTTCTTCAAAGTCTGGCCCTATGTTGCTTTATCTCTACCCACCAAATTCCCACCCTTCATATCCAACTCTCCTGCCAACTAAACTGCTCGTAATTCATGTCACTGATTTGTGCATTGCAATCCATTTGGAATCCTATTAATCTGATTGTTTCTTGAGAGCAGAGAATGATTTATATTCTTCTCTGTATTCCAGCATCAAGCATAATGCCTGGTCAATTGTAAGGGCTCAGTAATAAATTATTGTTGCAAAAGGGAATCGATAAAGTATATCCAGCTCTTATAGAATAACAACAATCATATAATAAAAAAATGTTTTTGAAATGAGAAGTGGAATTATATGGGTTTACTTACTATCCCTCACTGTTTGAGACAAACTGGGGACATGTGGGAGTAGTAGAAAAAAGCATTCAGAAGATGAACTTATAAAGGCTGCCTGATACCCAGTATTGACCTTTTGAAGAGGGTGGGGAGCCACAGCCAATTAATTTGTTTTACATCATTCCTAAAATACTACTACATGTCAGATTCAAAGTTCACGTTATTCTCTGTTGGGCTTCTCAAGATACTTGGCAGTTTCAGGCATGTGGATTGAATTTGTTGTTCAATATTCTCTGCCAGCCCAACTTCTCTGACCACAATGTGCCTTCCTAATAGGCATGTTCCCCGTTTTTAGATGACAGTTTAGATGACAGTGCATCAGCCAGGGTGATTGGTTAAGAAAAAATGGTCAGGAAATCATAGAATTGTCTTAATTTGATGCATAAATTTATTTATTTAATGCTACATTAAATAATTTTAATTTAAGAAATATTGACTATATTCTGTTGCAATACACTGAGTTATAGGTGTGCAAAGAAGAAAGTAGCCTTGCATTTTGGGAGCACATCTAATGGAGCAAGAACCACAGATAAGAATCTCCAACATAAAGATTTAATAAGAATGCATAATAATAATTATACCAACACAGTAATTATCACATACATCTGAGCTCATCTTATACCCCCTTGGCTTCACCTCTTCCCAGCCCCTTTGCTGGAGTCATTTCTATACTGCAATGAGCCTGCTTTGTACAAGGGCAATTAAATAGTGCCTAGCATTGTCCTGTCCCTTTTGCTTCTTGCCTTGAGTCTGTTTTTTTAAATTATATTTTGTTGATTATGCTATTGCAGTTGTCCCAAATTCCCCCTCTTTGCACTACACCACTCAGCACCCCCCACTCCCTCAGGCAGTCACCACACCATTGTTCACATCCATAGTTCATGCATGTAAGTTCTTTGGCAAGAACTTATTTCCTATACTGTAATTTATATCCCAGTGGCTATTCTGTAATCACCAGTTTGTACTTCTTAATGCCCTCGCCTCTTCCCTACTCCTCCACATTCCCCTCCCATCTGGCAACCATCAAAACAGTTCCCATATCCATGATTCTGTCTGTTCTTCTTGTTTGCTTAGTTTGTTTTTTAGATTCAGTTATAGATATGTATGTATTTATTGCTATTATATGGTTCATAGTTTTGATCTTCTTGTTCTTAAATCCTTTTAACATTTCGTAAAATAATGGTTTGGTGATGATGAATTCCTTCAGTTTTTTTTCTTGTCTGTGAAGCTATTTATCTGCCCTTTGATTCTAAATGATAGCTTTGCTGGATAGAGCAATCTTGGCTGTAGGTCCCTGCTTTTTATGACCTTGAATATTCTTACCGATCCCTTCTGGCCTACAAAGTTTCTTTGGAGAAATCAGCTGACAGCTTTATGGGAACTCCCCTGTAGGTAACTAACTGCTTTTCTTTTATTACTTTTAAGATTCTCTCTTTGTTTTTAACCTGTGGCATTTTAATTATGATGTGCCTTGGAATGGGCCTCCTTGCATCCATCTTGTTTGGGATTCCCTGTGCTTCCTGGACTTGCATGTCTATTTTCTTTGTCAAACTAGGGAAGTTTTCTTTCATTATTTTTAAAATAGAGTTCCAATTACTTGCTCTTTCTCTTCTCCTCCTGGTACCTCTATGATGAATATGTTGAACCTCTTGAAGGTGTCCCAGAAGGTACTTATAGTATCCTCATTTTTTTTGGATTCTTATTTCCTCCTTCTTGTTCTGATTGGTTGTTTTTTGCTTCCTTATGTTCCAAATCATTGATTTGATTCTCTGCTTCATCCACTTTACTGTGGTTTCCTTGTAAATTGTTCTTTATTTCAATTAGTGTACCTTCATTTCTGATTGGGTCTTTTTTATGCTGTGAGGTTCTCACTAAATTCCTTGAGTACACTTACAACCAGTGTTTTGAATTCTGCATCTGATAGATTGTTTATCTCCATTTTGTTTAGTTCTTTTTTTGGAGTTTTGATCTATGTTTTTTATTTGGGCCATGTTTCCTTGTCTTCTCATTTTGACAACCTTCCTGCGTTTGTTTCTATGTATTAGCTAGAGGTGCCTTGACTCCATGTCTTGGTAGTATGGCCTAATATAGTAGGTGTCCTCTAGGGTCCAATAGCACAGCCACCCCTATCTCTCAAGCTTGGTACTTGAGGTGCATCCTCTGTGTGGGCTGAGTACACCCTCCTCTTGTAGTTGAGCCTTGGCTTCTGTTGGAAGATCAATAGGAGGGATTTTCCTAGGTCTGTCAGCCTCAGGGACTGGCTATATCCACTGACCACCAACCTCTGCCCTCCATGTAGGATCAGCTGTATCAGCTGTGTAGGGGAAGTGTGGTGGTGCTCTGATGTGGTCTGTAGCTGTCCACTGGTTGCACAGGTTCTGGGGTTTCCTGGGTGGTGAAGGCCAAGGTCAGCCCCAAACTATGTTCTGCTCAGGGCCACCCTGCATACAAAGTGATCTGCAGATGGCTGCTTCTTGTGCTGGGCTGGGAGCCCAGGTGAAGCCAAGCTATGAACAGCTGATTGCTGCTATTGCTGGGCCTGGGCCACTTAGCAAGAAGTACAGGGGCTGGGGTTCACTGAGGCCAGCTATTGCTTGATTGAGAGGATTTAGGAAGTCATGAAGCATGAGCCCAAACCAGCCATTTATATGGAAAAGCCACAGTCAACAGCTTGGGTGGGCCCATAAGTTAGGTTGGATGAAGCCTCAGGGGATTTCCATGGTGGGACAAACTGTTAGCCAGTTTGTTGGAGTCTCAGATATGGCACCAACCTGCTGGCTCTGTGGCTCTGTGGTTGGAGGGTTCAGAAAAGGGACAAGGGCTTCTGCGCACCTTTCTGTCTGGGAGAAAGCTGTCCTCTACCTCTTGCCTTGATTCCAGACACTTCAGTTTCTCCCTGTATGCAACTGGTGCCTTTTATGCTGCTACTCTGATGCTGGAGCTCAGAAAGAGTGAGTCTGTGTAAGTCCGTGTGTGGGTTCTTTAAAGAGAACTCCTTGGGACTCCAGAGGTTTATTCTACTTACTCAATCCACATTGGGTTTTGCAGCCAGAACTCATGGGGACTTATCTCCCTGGTACTGGGACCCTGGGCTGGGGAGTCTTGGTGTGGAATTGAGACTCCTTGCTCCTAAGATATACCTCCCAAATTTTTATACACCACATGTGGATGTGGGACCAGCCTGTTCAGCATCTCCATCCCTTTTACCAGTCTGGATAAATGTTATTTCTTTAATTACATCATTGTTGGACTTCCATTCAACTCAATTACTGATCGTTCTGATTGATGGTTGTTCTATAATTTAGTTATAATTTTGATGTGGTTGTGCAAGGAAGCAAGCTGCGTTTACCTATGTCTCCATCTTGACCGGAAGTCGATGCAGAAATTTAAAAACCACATCTGAAAGCAACTAATTTGGAGATGAGAAAACCCTAGTGGTATGCTGGTAAACTGGTTCTGTCTTGAAAAGAAAAATCTCCAATTTTTAGTAATTGCCGTTATCAACTTTATAATACTCCTCATAGTTAATTTCTTTTCCTTTTAAAAAAGGATTTTATTTATTTATTTATTTTCAGATAGAGGTGAAGGGAGGGAGGAAGAGAAGGAGAGAAACATCAGTGTGAGACAGAAATATCAGTTGGCTGCCTCTCACATGCCCCTAACCAGGAACCTGGCCTGCAACCCATCATGTGCCCTGTCTAAAGAACTGAACCAGTGACCCTTAGGTTCACAGGCTGGCACTCAATCCACTGAGCCACAGCAGCCAGGGCTCCATAGTTGATTTCAAGCTATAGACATGGCATCACTGAAAATAGAGTTGGGAAGAGATGTGCACAATTAGCTCTTGAGCGTGGATAGCAGCCACCTCCAGCATCCCACTGACAATTCCACTGAAAGAATGAGTAGTATTCCCACTGCAACAGAGGGTTACTTCCTTTGGGGTGGTCCAGTTGGGATATTGTTGAGAGCTCTGTGCACTGCATTGCCAAGGGTGATCAATAAGACCTGAATGAGAAGTTTCTTATTGATCTTAATGTCTTTGCTTCACTGAAAGAATTATGTCCCTTATTTCCCTAGTAAATAAAAAGAAATAAATGACTAATCTTGTTTCTCTTCCTCATTTGGCCACCAGTAAACTTAAGCCAAAATTATGGTTCAGCTATAACAATGATGTAGAAAATTAAGACTTATTTATCTATATTCCATTACCTTCATCTATACCTCCTATTTTAAGTTGTGTTTTCTCTGCCTAATGATGTTTTGGTGTACATACATAGTTGTTACTTTCATTTTGTATGCCACTCATACCTTCCATGACAAAACATATATAAGAGTAACATTTCTTAAAAACCTTTGGGGATTGCAGTGGCGGGAGAAATACCCCATCTCACAGGAGAATCCATTGGAGGGACCCATGGCATCCTAGAATGTGCACAAGCCCACCTACCCAGAAATCAGCACCCAAAAGGTCACAATCCACTTTGGGAAGCGATGGAAGTAACGGAAAGTGGGGCGAGAGCTGAGCAAGCTAGCAAGCGGCATTGTTCCCTCTCTGACCCCTCTCCAACAATGCAGCGAAGTGGGTTGCCCCACCCTGGAGAAAACCTAAGGCTCCACCCCTTATAACCTAACAGGTGCACCGAGACAAAGAAATGTGGCCCAAATGAAAGAACAGAGAAAAACTCCAGAAAAAGAACTAAGTAATGAGGAGATAGCCAACCTATCAGATGCAGAGTTCAAAACACTGGTAATCAGGATGCTCACAGAAATAATTGAGTGTGGTTGCAAAATAAAGGAAGAAATGAAGTCTATGAAAAGTGAAATAAAGAAACATGTATAGGGAACCAACAGTGAAGGGAATGAAATCGGGAATCAAACCAATGATTTGGAACAAAAGGAAGAAATAAGTATTGAGCCAGAACAGAATGAAGAAACAAGAATTCAAAAGTAAATAAATAAATAAATAAATAAAGAGAGACTTAGGAACCTCTGGGACGACTTTAAAAGCTCCAACATCTGGATCATAGGGCTTCCAGAAGGAGAAGAGGAAGAACAAGAAGTTGAGAACTTATTTGAACAAATAATGAAGGAAAAGTTCCCCAATCTGGTGAAGGAACTAGACATGCAAGTCCAGGAAGCTCAGAGAGTCCCAAAGAAATTGGATCCAAGAAGAAACATACCAAGACACATCATAATTAAATTACCCAGGATTAAAAATAAGGAGAGAATCTTAAAAGCACCAAGGGAAAAGGAGAGAGTTACCTACAAAGGAGTTCCCATAAGATTATCAGCTGATTTCTCAAAAGAAAGCTTACAGGCAAGGAGGGGCTGGAAAGAAGTATTCAAAGTCATGAAAGGCAAGGACCTACATCCAAGATTACTTTATCCAGCAAAGCTATCATTTAGAATGGAAAGGCAAGAAAAGTGCCTCCTAGATAAGGTAAAGTTAAAGGAGTTCTTCATCACCAAGCCCTTGTTATATGAAATGTTAAAGGGATTTATCTAAGAAAAAGGAGATTAAAACTATCAACAATAAAATGACAACAAACTCACAACTATCAACAACTGAACCTAAAAAACAAAAACTAAGCAAACAAGCAGAGCAAGAACAGAATCACAGAAATGGAGATCACATGAAGGGTTATCAGTGGGAAGGGAGAAGCAGAGAATAGGAAAAGGTACAGGGAATTAGAAGAATAATTGATAGGCACAAAATAAGCAGGGGGAGGTTAAGAATAGTATGGGAAATGGAGAAGCCAAAGAACTTATACATACAACCCATGGACATGAACTAAGTTGGGGGGTGGGTAATGCTGTAGGGAGGGGAGGTGCAGGGCAGGGGAGGATAAAGAGGAGAAAAAAAAATGGGACAACTGTAATAGCATAATCAATAAAATACACTTAAAAAAAGACTAACATTTCTTGAACTTCCCCCTAGATTCCCTTTTTTATCCCCTTAGTTTATGTGTTATATGTTTATTTTTAACGTAAAGTTGTATTTCCTTTTTATCTTTTGTTCAGGGTAAATATGTGGTCTGTTTTGATCCCCTTGATGGATCCTCCAACATCGATTGCCTTGTGTCCATTGGAACCATTTTTGGCATCTATAGAAAGGTAAAATGTAACATGTCAAGCCTTTGGTTTGGGATCAAGAGCAGAGTTAAGGTACAGCGTCCAGTCCTGGTTGACTATTGGAGCAGCCAGAATATATATCATGAAACTGTGAGGCTTGCCATAGGTTTATGTCTCCAGTTCTGACTTTTTCAGCATTAGCTGCATAGAGAAGATCCATTAAGTTGTTAAAAGAAAATGTAGTAAAGTGTAGATAGGAAGAGAAATGTAGTTTACTCATAACTGTATCATGCTTTCTTTTATAATAGAAAATAAAGTTAAAAATAAAAGAGACTGTAGAGAGTAGTTATAGTGGTGATTCTATGTGAACTGAAAATTATGAGAATGTGACAACAATAGAGATTATGTATATCAAAATTGTCCTTTAAATCCTCTAAATCAGGGGTCTGCCAACTATGCCCCTTCCCAGGGCAAAATTCAGCCAGTTGCTTGATGGTCTATGAGCAAAAAATAACCCTTCTGCATTTTTAAATGGCTGTAAAAACTAAAGAATAATATTTTATGGCCCATAACATTTACATAAAATTTAATTTTCACTGTTCATAAATAATGTTTTAATGGCATGTGGTCAACTCATTTGTTTTCATGCTGCTTTTGGTTGATTTCATGATGCGCTGGCAGGACTAAGTGGTTGTAATAAAGCCTGTATGACAGTACACCCCACAATGTTTACTGTCTATCCATTTATGGAAACAGTTTACTGCGCGCTGCTGCAGAATGGGGACCTGGACCCCTGCCCTGAGTCTTCTACCTGTGTGACCTGGGCAGGTAACTGTACCTCCAGAGCTTCTCTTTTTCTTCTTCTTCTTTTTCAAAAAAAAATATTTTACTTATTTTCACAGGGAGGGGAAGGAAGGAAGGAAAAGAGGGAGAGAAATATCAATGTGTGGTTGCCTCTCGCACGCCCCCTACAGGGGACCCAGCCTGCAACCCAGGCATGTGCCCTGACTGGGAGTCGAACTGGTGACCCTTTGGCTCTTAGGCTGGCACTCAATCCACTGAGCCACACCAGGCAGGGCTCTTTTCCTTCTTTTTCTTTAAGTGGCATGGATCGTGTGTGTGTGTGTGTGTGTGTGTGTGTGTGTGTATCTGCACAAGTGGCAGAACAGTGCTCAAATATACAAACTAAATAGGATGAATATCTGTGGGCCCATCATAAAACATGAACTCTGAAATGTCATTTTGGCTTCAGCCCTTGTTATTTAATTCAGAAATAAAACCTCACAGATGACATTGAGGATCAATCAGTTTCTTTATCTTAATGGACAAGGTGGCAGGTTGAGCTGACTAAAGAGGTTTCTCCCACTCTCCTATTTTAGAATACAGAGGCCATAATTTAAGCATTGAGACCCCGATTTTCACTTTATTGTTCAAAGTGACTTGTCTAGTATTGCACATAATCTCCTTTCAAACATATGGAAATTAGGAAAACCATGGTACAGCTCTCTTTGGTCATTGGAGTGTATTTTGCTTTTGTCTGGGATCAGAGGGAGATCCACATCAAATCAATTTGACTAATAGGTTCTAATGCTTACATCAGAAAGGTAAATGCAAGAATTTATTTATTTTCCAAGTCAACCATGAAATATACTATTCCTGTTATAGACATGGAAGCAGATAATTTTACCTGCAAAGTTTCACATCTCTAGTATAGAGAGGTTTGTAACAAAAGTCTACATGTGAAGGAAAACCATGGGTTAATGACTCAATCAAACTAAAGCAGCATGAATGTTTGCCAGCAACTGTCTCCACTCAGCCCCCCAAACAAAGACTCTTTGAAGGAAACAAAGAAGTAAGCTGGAAAATTAAGGGACACTGGCTATTAACTAAAAAAATCAAACCTACTTGCCACAACAGCTTGAATTAAAGATACTACAGCTCAGCAATGAATCTCCACATGCAGTAAGCCTGAAGTGACTCTCTCAAAAGACTGGGGAAAAAAAAGAGTGTGACAGTGCCTTTAAGTCATTTCAGTTTTCAAAAGACTTATTGATTATTTGAAACCACTTGAGGGCTTATGAGGCATCAATATTGATGTGCCTGATACTTCAAGGGTGACCTTTCCTGCTTTCTACAGGGATGGTCCTCAGCTAGAATTCAGCTCCCTAGGGCACCTGCTCAGCAAGCAGCACAGCATCTGTAACTGGAACCTGCAACAGTACCGGACCTTGCCCACACAATGCCTGGAAACAGGCTCCAAGGGGACCTTGAAGGGCACATGGTGCAGTGTTCCACGTGGTTCCTGCTGCAGCATCTCTGGAGGGGTCACCCAGCTTCTGGCTGGGCACACCCAGGAGGGGTATAATTCCCCTGAGATGTTGAGCAACCATCACAGTTAGAATATTTGTCCAAATATTGAGCCAAAATCTGTCTCCCTATTGTCATTTGGCCTTTTAGAGATTCAGAAAATAAGACTCTTTCACATGGTTAGAAATGGCTTTCTTCTGCTCCTTTAAAAACAAATCTTAAGTTAAACATCCTTCATAGGAGTTCATTTTTAGACATTTGCAAGTGTGGTCACCATCTACCAGATACATTATCATTTACAATGTCCTTTAAAAAATCCAGTCCCCATAATTCAAAGCAGAGTTTTAAAAGTGTTCTAGCATCTTCAGGATTCAACTTATTTCCCTTAACTGAGCACAGGAAGACATATTAACAATAGCTATATGGAATAATAGTAATAGCTTCCAGACATTGACACTAGCTATGTGGGACTTTGGGCAAGGTAGTTGCTCTATGCCTTTTATTTCCTTATGCTTAAAGGGGAGATACTGAAAATTAAGTCTAACTGAAGCTGAATTTCAGTTAAGACACTGAAATTAGTGCCTGACACATAAAAAGTGCTCAGTAAATGGTAGGTATTAATATTACTACTGTTGTTTTGTGTATTAAGATTCAATGGACAGTATCACAACTCTAAGAAAGGAGGGAGGGAGGAAAAGGAAATTGGTTCACATAACTAAAAAGCCCAGTGGGTAGGTCTGCTTCTGGAGCAGCTGCAATCAGGGACTGAGACCACATCATTAGGACACACTTCCTGTTTATCTCTACTACTTCCCTCCTCTCTGATTGCAAAATGGCTGCCAACAGGTCTAGGCTCACACCCAATTCTCTAAGCAACTCACGCAGAAAATTTAAGCTTCTTTTCCAACAGTTCCAACAAGAATATCATCTCTCTGGCTCTGATTGGCCTGGCTTAGGTCATGTACCCAACCCTCAACCAATCACTATGGCCTGAAGCATGCAATGCTCTGGTTGGCCAGGCCAAGGTCACGTACCCACACCTGGCGCTGAGAGGGAGGGAGGCAGTATCTTCAGGTGCAGTTATCAGCAGAGGGGTAATGGATACTAGCTAGGCAAAACCAACTGATCTTCAGTACAGATTATAAACTCCTTGAGGCAAGGACATCAAATATATTTTTGTCTGCTAGGTTTCCAGGAGCAAGAGTAGGTGAACAACACTGGCCAAGTTACTGAGGACTCTGCTAAATGTCCTGTGAGACTTTCTAAGGAGCGTTTGGCTGCCCCTCTAAGGGGAGACTATCTCATAACATGGCAGCCCCATCACACTTCTGTCTGACTTTCTCCTCTTCCACCTTGAGTCTCTGTCCAGAATCCATGTGTCTCCCCCTGTGCTCTTTATGGGGCAATGTGGAATAAAACAGACCAATACCTGCAGCAGGTGGTGGCCCAGGATACACAGAGAATGGTTAGGTCCAGAGGCTTTCTGGTTCTGCCAAGTTCTTTATGCACATTGTCCCGTGAGCATCCACATGGGAATGTAATGAATCTCTTGAAGCAGAGGCATTTACTACTGGGGGCTTGGAGGAGGGAATTCATGCACTGAAAAGGGGGTCAGGCAAGAAAAGAATTCCTCCAAATCCATTACTTGAAGGCATTATTTTCTGTTTGTTGTGAGTATGTGGATCATAAATGGTGTTACCCTTTCTTATTTCATGCAAAAGTGTCAAAGGGTAAGATTATTTGGGACAGTATTTCAGGGAAATTCTATTTACTCTTACACCTTCCCCACAGGCAGGCACGGATGGTACTGGGCAAGGTGAAATCTCTGGGGAACTTTTGCTAATGGAGAGCTGATCACTCCAAGCCTCTGGCAGCTTCCAACTAATTCACTTGTTTACATATTCCCTTTGTCTGATTTTGCACTGCACTGGCTAATGGGAATAAGTGGTTGAGATAGAGGATAGTTAGAGGCCCGAGCCTTCCCACTATATCACTGGCTTCAAAGGAAGCTGGAAGAAGGTTGTGCACTGGCAAACACACAAAAAATCAGAAGTTAGGGAAGACAACTCAAATTTTCTATTCTATGGTTAGTCTGTGTTTACCTCTGCTTGCTACTTGTGAATGCAAACTAGACCAAATCAAATAACTTGACCCAACCCAACCAACCATCTAGCCAACCACCTTGAAGAAAACCATTTATTAAATATGAGGAGTGGGGATGAGGGGAAAAATGGAAAGAATGATTTTAGCAATTCTTCCTTTTACATAAGTAGTTCTTAAACTTCAGAGCAAGAGTCATCTATGATAAATGGTAAAATGCAGATTCTCAGGCACCACCTTAGAAAATCTAACGTAGTGGAATTAGCCAACAGCCCCAGGATATGCATTTTAATAAGTTTTCCAAGTGATTCTGATGCAGATGGTGTCTGGGCCACACTTTCGAAAGTTATAAGAGGAAATTACTATGAATGTTTTTGTTGGAATGACCTTCTTTAGCATCATGCTATAGGTTCCCTTACTCTCAGCTGCTGAATCTCTGGTTGGGAAAGGAATAAATAAAATTGGCAGAAATTGCTCATTTTCATTTTTCTTTAAATTCAGGTAGAGAGTATGCAAGCTGAAACATTTGTTTGGGGCTGTTCTGAGGAACAAAGAAACCAATGAAGTATTAATAAAGATGGCAATTATCAGTTAGCAATCATTGATTAGGAGCCATCTCCTTAAGGTATTCAGTTCCTTAATATTAGGCAAATTGTGGGTCACATGACCCAGTGCACTGTGTTTTAATGAAAGAAAGAAGAAAAGATTAGAGTGCATGCCATGTCCTAAGTGTGAGTATGGTTTCATTACATATCTGTAGTTGTGTGTGCATGTGAGTGTGTGTTGATACTGGTTTGTTATGGAAAATGTATTTCATACTGTGAGTCATGGTCAAAAATATGGGAAGCATCTGCCCTAATCTGTAATGACTCTGGAGAGACATTCTAAGTTCCTGTGTTTCTGAAAGTTTCTTTGATGTGTAAGTGATGTGGACCACACTGCTCATTGGGGAATGGGCTGCAACTGGCAAGAACTCATGAAATTGATATCCCCACCAGACTCACAGCTCTGCAACCCAGTCTTAATTTGTTTAAATAAAGATGGAGTAGGCAGGTGAAAGACATTGATGTACATAATAAGATTAAATTAGTGGGAGCTGGCAAGCAAGCAGGCTCTTTCCTGAAAGTGAAAATAGAGAAATGAGGGAATATCAAATTAGTAAAATTGAGGAGGGTTGTAATTGGAAAGAAAGACCCAGCTGCAGGAAATCTGGGGTGTGTGGGAAGGCTGCTGTGGTAATATAATCAGGATATCACTGATTTGTGAAGGAAGGTCCCTCTAAGAAGATGCCCTGTTTCATTAGGAAAGCACCTTCACAATAAATTTTGCTAATGGTTGAACTGAAAAAAAGAGCCACAAAAATGTGTTTGTTTTCTTCCTTTCCTAGAACTCTACTGATGAGCCTTCTGAGAAGGATGCTCTTCAGCCAGGCCGGAACTTGGTGGCTGCTGGCTATGCGCTGTATGGCAGTGCTACCATGTTGGTTCTGGCCATGGCATGTGGTGTCAACTGCTTCATGCTGGACCCGGTGAGAGACGCTGTGGGAGGCTGGGTACTTGGCTGATGGCTGTGAGTGCGTGTCTGTTATGTGTGGGGGGCGGGGTGTTGGCAGGGGCAGACAGAGGTGGGAGATAAGTTCTATGGAGGGACAGAGATGAGGTGAGGAAGTGAGTGAAATGGAGGGCAATATGTACATCATGAGATTATTGAGGTGCTAAATAACATCTCTCCAGACATTAAATGGGTCCTTTGTTCCAAGATGAAATCTTTAGAACAGACATCACTCAACTGACTCAAATGCCCATCGAGGCCAGGTAAGCCATATAAATGAGTAAATGTTCTGGGGAAGGCAGGCCAGGGGTGATGTTGGGGACTGTAGTGAACTGGAGAGGAATAGCAACCACTGCCAAGGCTTCCAATATTTAAGAAACACTGTTTTTGTTTTTTTTTAATGTGATATTTCTGGACTTGTAAAACAGAGTGCCAGCCAACTAAAACACATTTATGGACCAGATGGGGCTTGTAGACGGTCCGTTTACCACCCACTGTATTCATTACTAGCTTATTTTCCTGAGGTGAACAGGTATCCCAACTGAAGCATTGTTTCCTCAAAAATAGCTATCAAATTTATTTGATGTGCACATGCGTGCAAATCTTTAGTTAAGCTTTGCAGCTTTGACAAGGCTTTGATGAACTGAAGGATGTGAAAATCAAGAAGGAAATGCAGGTAATTCCTTAGTCCACCTTATAGGGAAAATCTACCTTATGGAGAGAAGCTCAGGGTGCCATGAAAAATATTCATTAGCAGTTTAAATTTGTGCATAATATCTCATACATATCTATTAATTGGAGTTAATTATTTATTGAGTTAGATGACAGTTTCAACAGAGCAGATAAATTAGGGAAAGAAATCCTTTAAAATATCTGGTGTAACTAAAGCCATCATTGAATACAAATTCCACAGGATAATCTTTAATAGGCCGGCATGTTCGTTATGTGTTTGGTCCAGTGTACGAAGAGGAAAAAAAATGGGTTTATTTCCTCTTAGTTGGAAATGTTCTTGGAGGACATTAATGAAACATGTTATTTATTTGGTACTTTTTGCTGACAAACTGAACACAAGGACAAACAGCCAGCTGGAGTCCTGTGGGGGATGGATAAGGTGTAGAGCTTGAGTGGCAGGTCACACATATCGGAGCCTGGGCTGCCTTTGTCTCTGCACTCTTGCTCCACTGGACTTTGCCTCCTTGGAAGTATTGGCACTTAATAAACAAACAAGGGTGGGGCAGCAGCACTAGGTTAAGCCTCCAAATGAGGTGACATCAGGGAAAATAGTGGCAGATCCAGAGCACACTTCACTCAGAGCCCAGGGTACAGTTTCAGAGATCATTGCTGAGTATTGATTTCAACATCTTGCCAGACACTTTCTGTTTCCCTAACATTCTTCTGGTGACTTCTTTGTTACCTTTGCGTTGATGGGTATATAGAATATATTAACTCTCTTCTTGTTTCTAGATTGCAAACTGGTGTCTCCAGGAGTAAGTTTCTGTGTATTTGATAGTCTTTTGCCCTCCTCACACGTAATGGCCACTCAGCATTTGGAAGAAGAGCGCAGGCCCTCTCTCTTATACCCCCTACCCCACCCCGCAGTCTGCTGTCCTACCCTCCACTGGCTGCCGTGCTATCCCCCACTGGCTGCTGTGCTATCCCCCACTGGCTGCCTTCCTGAGACCTGACTAACCCTCCACTGGCTGATGCTGGCTGGAGGTGAGCCTTGGACCAGCTTCGCATTTTCTTTTCATTTTGGCTTGCTGCAAGGACAGGATGAGAGTTTCTGCTAGAAGGGACCCCAACAGCTATGTCTGCATTTCTAGGAGGTTTTAACCTTCAAAAAGCTTTCAATCTCTTGTCTACATGTACAGGGACTCCCCTCCACTTCCTGGGTTCTCTAGTCAGGTAGCTGGGTGGAGTGTCTGCAAAGCATAGCTGCGTGAGCTCTGCAGCACCTGTTATGCAATGGCTTCATTTTCTGGACTTCTTCTTTTTGGTAAAGATTTTATTTATTTACTTACTTACTTAGTTTAATGATCATAAAAGAATATTTCTATATACATGTGGTCAAAATAGTTGGAAATACCAAAAAAGAATAAAAGAAAAAAGAAGAGTCATTTGCAATGACACCTCTCAGTGATCACTATTAATTCTAGTCTCTTTTCTGTCCTTTCCCCTACCCTTCCTCGCTCTGTAGTTCCAATATGCTCCACGTTGGCAAGGACCAATCTTTGCTATGGGAATAAATGGCTGTGGAGAGATGTGTTGATGGGGCCTCCCTTCTTCCAGCTCTTGCCTCCATGGAGCACCCCCACCCCAGATGAGCAGAGTCCCAATTACCTTCTTCTCAGTGACACACAGGAGTCCCAAGCAATCCTCAGTCCAGAGCAACAGGAGTTACGTGACACTTTCCCTCCAAATTCCAATCTCTTTTGAAGAACCTAAGCTGTAAAGGCACCACCTTAGCACTGGGACATTGTAGAAGGATGTTCTGAGAAATACTTTGTGAGTCACTGAGCAAAGGCACCTGAAGTTACATATGCTGTGAATCAAAACTCAGGGTTCTACTCTTTTCTATAGCAACACACAAAAGGGAAGTGTCAGCAGATAGAAATGGAAAGCTGAAAGCAGCCCTGGGTGTGTTGGTATAACTTAACTGATAGCCCACTTCCTGTCTGCACCAAGTGAACCAAGGTTTTGTGTGTGTGCGTGTGTGTGTGTGTGCGTGTGTGTGTGTGTGTGTTTTAGAAGGCATACACATATTACGTTGCTTTGGACACACAATTCTTACTCTCCCTGAGGGTTTGCTGTTGTTTCACATATTTCTGCCCTCCGTATTTTTTAATGTTTTCTTCTTTTTTATCCTCACCTGAGGACATGCTTATTGATTTTAGAGTGAGGGGAAAGACGAGAGAAAGAGAGGGAGAGAAACATCAATGTGAGAAAGAAACATCCATCGGTTGCCTGTCCTATGTGCACTGACCAGGAATCAAACCTACCAACTTTTAGTTTACTGGATGGTGCTCCAACCAACTGAGTCACAATGGCCTGTGATGTTTTCTTTCATCTTTTACTGAAACCATTTAAAAGCAAAGCCAAAAGTCTTCTCTCCCCTATCAATGTCTGCAGCAGTGTCTTGTCTTTCCCTGGTTCCTTCCCACATGTCACACCAATGACTCTTCCTGGCCCTGGCCCTGCTCACAGTTGCTGGAGAGGTGGGCTGGAGGCACCCATGTCCCAGGGCCAGGAGAAGCTCCCTGTGCTGGTGGTCATTTCACAATGTATACAAATAGTGAATCATTGTGTTGTACACCTGAAATTAATATAATGTTACATGTCAGTTATACATCAATAAGAAAAACTTGCAAAATAAAAAACCAAGTTCCTGGTACTGATGCATGGGTGTGACTGCTGGCCTTGCACCCCTCCCCACTACCTAGCCCAGCCTGCCACAACCTCACACAAGCGGGAGGGGGAGGGGTGGCCAGGATGGGGGATGGTGGAGAGGATTCATCGCCTCTCTATCTTTCCTTCCTGTTTCACAGGCCATTGGAGAGTTCATTCTGGTGGACAAGGATGTGAAGATCAAAAAGAAAGGGAACATCTACAGCCTCAATGAGGGCTATGCCAAGGACTTTGACCCTGTTGTCACTGAATATGTCCAGAGGAAGAAGTTCCCACCAGTAAGTGAGAGTTCTTTGCCACTGTCTCTCGGCAAAAAAATTTCGAGATAATTAAGCCAGCTGATACCTGTTCCATGATGTCTGATGGATTTCTATCAAATTGTCTCAAGATTGAGGGTGTCCATCTTGGTGTCCCTCAGTTACTAATTACTGACTGTGAAGAAAAGAAATGACTGTCTGCAGAGCTGCTTCTATCTGGAAATATCCAATTTTGTCACACTCTTGTCAAATGCCATTTTTGGTTGCTGTATCCTGAGGAGGAAACCCAAATGTAGGCCTTCAGAGCTGGCCACAGGCTCTCTTTCTAGCTTTATCATCTCTCCTTCCACCATACCGTGAATTCCCCTCATCTCGGCCCTGCCCCCAGCTCCTTCCCAGAACCCAGGTAGACAGCATTTGCTTCTCTACATTGTTTGCTTGTGTGCCTCCCTCTCCCACAAGATGAAAATCCCACCCTCCTTAGCTTGGCAAAATCCTTCTTAACCTACAAGGCTCTGGTAAGTGGTACCATTTCTGTGACACCGGCCCCAACCCCATAGCCAGAATCAACAGCACCCTCCTCAGGGCTTCTGAGGGTAAGCTGGCCTACTCTAAGACATATGGGAGATTGTCTCCATTGTTCCATTTTTCTGCTCCTTGGAAACAGGATTTTCATCACATTTCCTAGCAAAGACCTAAACATGCACCGTGTAGGTGCCCACTAAACAATTTTGAATCAAATAAGTGTAGAGGACACACAGAGAACTCCCTCTCTTTCTTTTCTGCAACTCTAATTACTTCTGGTCTTAACCTTGCAGGATAACTCAGCCCCCTACGGCTCCAGGTATGTGGGCTCCATGGTGGCTGATGTCCACCGTACCCTGGTCTATGGAGGGATCTTTCTGTATCCAGCTAACAAGAAGAGCCCCAAAGGAAAGGTAAATAGATCTTCTGCGAAGCAGTGGATTTTATTAGCAGCCTGAGGATTTGACTTAGTAAGAAAGATTATGGTAGCTGTTAGACTCTGCAGTAGGATGCTAAGGGTATCTGTAGCATATTCTTGTCTAGATTAAAGGTTGTCCTGGTTCAAGCCAAGTGGTATTGCCTAAAAATGGTCTCTGCAGAGCCCTTCCATTGCTAAAGATAAGTAATGGTGTTATGGTCAGGAGGGGACTAAAAGTGCTTAGCGCTTCCAGTGGGCACATGGTTTGGTGTGAACAAAATAAATGCCATTCATAAAGAAAAATGAAACAGTCCAGGCCCATTACTGAGGCAGCAAATCAAATAAGTATTACAAATACAAGTTTTCTTTGATTGCTTTTAAAGGGCATAAAATAGAAATAACTAACGAGCTGACATTTGCTGCTTGGAAAATGGTACCTTTCTAGGGAAGGAAAGAATCTCAGGGGGAACCTCCAGCTTTTAGGTAAGCTGTTGTCACTGACTGCGCCAGTTAGTGCCCACAGCACTTGCGCAAGCTGGGGTGGGGCTCTGCTGGCTTAGGGCGGCTAAGCGGCCCCCCTTTTCTTCTACACAGAGGGACAGTGTTTCCTTCTCAAGTATTGTCCTTCTGTTTTTCCCAGTAAACAGAGTGTCTTTTCCTTTTTTAATATGAGAGAAGGAATAGGAATGATAATCCCCTTCAGACAGTTAGAAATCTGTATACTCAGATATGCTCAGATCTCTGTTTACAGCACATGGGGTCCGGAGTCCATTTCACTGAAGGCATCTTACTCACTTAAAACACCACTCGTGCCACAGCCACCCCAGTCATCCCAGACTATATGATTAGCCTTCTTCATAGCACTTTTCTCCAGTGCCTCAAAAAAATTGTTCCTTAACACAAATACTGAGGTCCCTTCTTTCTTTCAGTTTTGCAAATCTGGCCATGTCACCTGTATGGAAGTAGAGTCAGGAAACACCTGCAAAAACCTGTCTGCTCAGTAGGCAGACTGCATGAAAATACATACAATAAAAAAAGTTAATATTTAAAAGTAAATGCCAAGGCATATAATACAGTAAATCCCAACCCTCAAGCCCTGGGAGAATTATAAAAGGAATGTGTGTAGAGTTGCAAACAATATTGTACTGTTTGGAGGAGCCAGTCTGCTTTCCAGATGTCTGCAGCCAGACACAACCATGAATTTTTGTATGCTTTTAGAATAGGCAAAGCTCCATCCAAAACACACACCGAATCACTCATTAGGTCCAGTTTCTATGCTATAAAGAGAAGGGAACCATCAGTTCTGCCAATATGTCATTCAGTACTGAGTCCAGGTGGTCTGTCTCATATTTGCATCAAGCAATCTATTCCTGCCTCTGGCTTGATGAATGGCTTAATTTAACCAAATGGCTAAATTAACCATTTGGTCTTATATGCAGCCTCTGATGTGTGTGTGTGTGTGTGTGTGTGTGTGTGTGTGTGTGTGTGTGTGTGTGTTGGGCTGAGGGACTTTTACAACCCCGTAGAAGGAAAGAGAAAGTATCAGCTACCTTGGAAACTTACACCAGCTCGGCACTATTTTGCTATGAAATAAACCCTCTTTCTCTGTAATACCTTCTGGTGTGAAGACGCTGCCCTTGGCTCTTGTTTTCCAGTTGAGACTACTCTATGAGTGTAACCCAATGGCCTTCATCATGGAGAAGGCGGGAGGATTGGCTACAACTGGGAAGGAAGCCATACTGGACATCGTTCCCACTGATATACACCAGAGGGCGCCAGTCATCTTAGGGTCCCCTGAAGACGTGACTGAGTTCTTGGAGATATATAAGAAGCATGCTGCCAAATGAAGAGCTGATTCCTACATTTAAAAAATAAATAAATAAATAAATAAATACATACATACATAAATAAATAATCACCTTTTATCTAGACTTTTATTTCACATGGCACTACCCCTTCTGACTGCATTGTATATTCCTAGACAGCAGAAATAAAAAGCACAGATATCTTCACCAGCAAATGGTGTGCAATGTCTGGTGCTGCCTAACCAAAATGCTATCTATATAGTGCCACTGATGCTCAAGATATATTTTGAATGGGTAGAGGAGAAATAAACATATTTTTCCTTTTAAAAAATAGTCTTCATTGCTTTGTGTCAAATGATAGGAATAATAATAATAACAGTTAATGCATATAATGTTAGCTAACTCATTTAATCTTCACAGAAGCCTTATGAATTAGGGTCTATGAATAACTTATTTCACCATTACATCATGATGAAATGAAGGGCAGAAAGTTGAGGTAGTCTGCCCAAGGTCTCTAGCCAATGAGTAGCAGAGCTCAGATATGAATCCAGGTGTTCTGGCCACCAAACTTGGAGTTAGCCTATTGCTTTTCCTACGTATTGTGTGTTCAGGTCTGGGTGTGCAGAACTAACCTGAGCAAGGCTGTTTATACTCTCCTGGGAACTGAAGAGGTGATGTTGGTGGTGGTGCCCATCTACAACCTCTTGGCCTCTCTCTCATATATGGGTATAATTACCTGAATTACAAATGAAAGTTTACATTATTACTCAATGGTGACTATTAAAAATGAAAATATAACACCTTATTGAACTAAAAAGCCTAATAATGTCTAAGGTCTAATTACCATAAGAAAGGAGATTCATCATAGAAATAAAATTTATGTAAATATTATATTTTTACAAGCAAGTGTATTTCTTATTAGACTCTCTGTATAAACATTTACTCCCCTGGCTGACCCTGGTTCTTTCTGGACTAGAATTTCCAAGGTTGTGGCAAATTATATCAGGTTTTAAGAAACACCTCTTTTTTCTTGGGCTCTTTTAAATTATTTAAATTTTTTTCAATTACAGTTTACATTGAATATTATTTTGTATTAGTTTTGGGCAGACAGCATAGTGGTTAGACAATCTCATACTTTACTCTAGATTTCATAAAAAAGTACTTATTTACTTGTTTTTACTTGTTACCTTGAAACAGTTTTCTTAAATAAATCCCCCTGCTTTTTCTACAAACACTCCTCATCAATTCCACAACTTTCCAGTAGGAAACTTAGTTTGATCTTAAGCATTGGCTCTACTTTTGTCCACCAACGGACCCAGTGCCAATGTTTCTCCCACTCCCATGGAGGCTGACCCTCACGCAGAAGTCCTCTGACTTGCAAAGCACCTTCTGATTTTTAACCAACTTGTAAGTCAGTTCTTGTAACTTCTGGTTCTCCAAGCACTGAGGGAGATGCATCGGTCTGGAAGATAGATGGGAAATGACATTCCCCCACCTCAGTGCTATGATGAAACTCCATGCTAACAAATAAAAAGCTAGACTGAAAAACCCAACAATTCTTCTTGGATCCCTAAGATATGGGAGGACACAGCAAAAAACACTGCCCCTAAGATTAGAGAGACCAACAGGTAAATACAGGGATCATGGATTTGTAGATCAGAGACACACAAGGGGAAACCACCATGGGAACTTGTGCATTAGGAGAAACTGAACTATAATTGACAAGTTGCTGAAGTTAAAAACTCCAGTCATGAGGGGAGGAAGAACTCTATGGTGACATTTATCTCTAGAAGCTTGACCATATTGCTATAGTAAACATCAGAGAAAAATCCCATTGGGCTTCTGGGAGGATGGAGGGGAAGAGGGACCATTTTGAAATTCACCAGAGCACTCTGCTCTTCTTAATAAGGCCTGCTTTCAGGGGAAACTGATTAACCAGAGCCTAACTTGGTATTATCAGGGCCTCACTTGGGAAAGGAAAACTCTAGGCCCTTTGTCCCACCTAAGGGAGGAGAAACAAACTAAAAAACACTTGTGAAGTTTACAGTCTAGAGGCATAAGCTCACTGTAAGACTGAGACCTGATCATAGGAGTGTAGAACACTTCTCCTCCCCGCCGACACCTCACACTCACATTATGAAAAGCCTTTTATAGTAGTTCCTTTTACCCAGTACATCATGTCCATCTATCGATATAAAATTACAAGGCATACCAAAGGCAAAAACAATAAAAACAACAACATTTTGAAGAGGCAGAGCAAAGATTGGAAACAAGGAAAAGATGTTGGAATTATTAAACCAGGAATTTAAAACAACCTTGATTAATATGCTAAGGGCTCTAATGGATAAAGTAGACAACATGCTTAAACAGATGGATAATGTAAGCAGAGAGATGGAAATCCTAAAGAAGAACCAAAAAGAAATACTGGAGATTAAAAAATACTGTAGCAGAAATGAAGAATGCCTTTGATGGGCTGAACATGGCTTAAGAAAGAATCTCAAAGCTAGGGAATATATCAAGAGAATCCCTAAAAATTGAAAACAAAGAGAACAAAGACTGAAAAAAAAAAACAACCCCAGAATATCCAAGGAATATAGAACAAGTACAAAAGATGTAACATATGTGAAGTGGAAATACCAGAAAAAGAAGAAAGAAAGAAAGGAACAGAAAAAATATTTGAAACTATACTGACTGAGAATACTCCTCCATTTAACGCCAGACATCAAACCACAAATCCAGGGAGTTCAGAGCACACCAAGCAGAATAAATGCCAAAAAACTACATATTTAAAATACAAAATATCAAAGATAAATTAAAAATCCTGAAAGAAGCCAGAGGGAATAAACACCTTACCTAGAGAGAAACAAAGATAAAATTAAATCTCTCTTCTTGGAAACCATGCAAACAATAAAATAGTGGAGTGAATATTGAAAGTGTTGAGAGAAAAAAATTCACCAATCTGGAACTCAGTACCCTGTAAAATTATCCTTCAAAAGTGAAGGAGAAATAAAATTGCAGAACCTGAGGCAGAGGAACAGCCCAGAAAGGAGAGGAGGAGGAGGAAGAGGAGGAGGGGGAGGAGGAGCTAGATAGGAGAGGTAGGGATTGTCAGCATTTAAACAGACCCTATTGTGAGTGCAAGCTAGTGGTCCTTGGTTTAAGAGGGGTGGGGAAGTCTCTGACAGTTCAGTTTGTCCATTGAATTTTTGTTGAATAATATGACCCAATGATAGAAGATTCCTACAGAAAGCAAGCTGAAGTAGACTGCCAACAGTGTATGCTCAAAATCTTAGATACAGCAGAAACAAAGCAATTTATGGTGATGAAGGATTTGTATATTAAGAATTGCCAAGGGTTGGCACTGGTATATTCTATTACAGCTCAGTCCACATTTAATGACTTACAGGGCCTGAGGTAACAAATTTACAGGTTAAGGAAAAAGAAGATGTTTTAATTTTTGTTGGCAATAAATGTGATGTGGAAGATGAGCAAGTAGTTGGCAAAGAACAGGATAAGAATTTAGCTAGACAGTGGTGTAACTCTGCTTTTTAAAGAATCTTCTGCATGTCTTTGTAGATGGCCATCTATAGCCGCTGCTGAGACACAGAAAAATTTACTTATAAAACTCTTCCTGTTCTCCTGGCCTCTGGAATATTTTAGATGGCAGCTGTAAATCAAAGCATTGTGTTCTTACAGCCTTGGCCCTGATTAAAACTTAAGGTCACAGCTTCCAATTGCACGACTATCAGAAATCATATTAATAATAGCACCTGAGTGCTTCCAATGGGAAGTAGATGGGCCATATTAAATAGAACCCCATCTGATGGTGAGATTATGAAAACTGAGAAGGTGTACGATGTGCCTTCAGACTATAAGTGAATGTTATATTAGATGCGAAATACAGAAAAGTGAGACAGGCAAGAAAACCTTGAGCGTGATCTGACTGGGGTGGAACAAGGTTCAGAACAGGGTGAAGGCTGAGAAGCCCTAAAACCTCCAAATCTGGCGAGGGCCAGGAAGAGTGGCAGCGCAGTGATTAAGAGTTATGCTGCATATAAATAACAGCTGGCTAGTATTATAGAAATGCTAATTGCTGTGCAAGCTTTACAACACCTACCTGAAAAAGCAAGGAACTCACGTGAGGTGCAAGAAATCCTGCTAGATGTAGAAGACTTGGTGCGAGTATTTAAGCTAGTTGCATGTAGTTATTCTTGCACTTGGATGTGCAGTTCTGGATTAAGAGCTGGAGAACATGGAGACGTGGCTGATGGTGCTGGAAATTGAGGGAACCTAGCCAAGCATGGACAACTGAGAGAAGCCAGAATGCTGAACAGGAACCTGCCTAGCTAAGCTGCAGACTTCTATTTTTTTTTCCCCTTGAGAGACATTACCTCTGACTGGCCTGGTTTGACAAAGGGAGGTAGGACTCTGTGTATTTACGGGTGCTAGGTTAAGGGACTTGGAACTTAAAAACAGAATTCTGCCATCATTCTAAATCTGTATAACTTGTAATTAATACTCTCTTTCATTTTCACCTAACTCTGGCACTGGGACTTATGATTTTTTGGCAATAGGAAATAGACCCCAAATCTGCTCCAGAACCTCATAGGCTGGCATTCTGTTACAGTTCTTGGTGCCCCACACATGGCTGAGAATTGCCTGTGGCAGGCCGACCGCCTTGGCAGTGGGAGAGTGAGGCTGTGGAATCCCCCAGTCTCTGAGAATGTCTCTGCAGATCTCCTGAGGGCACTGACTGTCTAAACACACCTGGAAGGTGAAAAGGAAATGGATCATGGATCTGGGAAAGGATCAGAGAAGTGAGATTGTTTGGTTGAAAATTTGTTGCTGAGCACGGCTTTGGGATAATGGAACTGGAGTTGTGGACAATAGTTTGGGGTGTACGTGGCTTCCATGTGCTTTTTATTTTACTTCTTATGGCTTTTTTGCATGTGTTGCCAGAACAATAAGAGCAGTTCTGGGCTGGCCCCTAGGGGAAGCCTGCTGGGTAGAATTTTAGAGGATTGGAAGATTCACTGCTGTAATCCGATGTCTAAGAATCCTATGTCTAAAGGAGACTTTGATTTATTACTATAACACTGTTTGGCCTAAGTATGTTTTGAATGGTGAGGAAAGGTGGCCTGTAGATGGTTCCCTGAGTTACTGTATCATTAAACAATGGAAACAGCATTGCCAACACAAATGGAAGGAACTCTGCTATTTCAATGAGCTTATATTGTTGTAGAATACCTGTAGGATAAATGGAGGCAGTTTGGCTTCCTCATCCAGGTGTCTGGGTAACTAAGGGAGCCCTGAGAATGAGCCTGATAAGCAGTGTTCTCATAGCCTTGAGACTAGGTCCAATAAACTGTCCCATAGCCTTGACTGGGCTCGCATGCATGGTAAGAATCTCTTTGCATAAGATATGTTGGCACCCTGCTGGCTTTGTTTGTTTCCAGTATATTAAGGGGTAGGGGCTTCCTGCTGGGGAAATTCAAGGGCCACACTGGGTGCCATGCAGAGGGGACAGGTGACATGTAGTGTGACACGCAGCTTGCAGCACACATGGATTGTCCACC